TTTTTATAAAACGTTGCCCCATACTAAGATTTTCTCCTGTGTCGTGGGTGCAGTTACAAACATACAATTTCACATGCTCATGACACCCAGACTTAAGTGGTTTATAATTACGTATATTAAATATTTCATCATCAGCAGCATTTGCAGCAGCTGCATTTATTGCCAGCCCCATGTTATAAAAGACTCGGGATTCCAGGGTAAGCGCAATGAGGCACCGCAGCATAAACGCGAATTATGTAGACAGGCATACTACAAACTTTCAGATTATATTGAGGATAAGAATGCCTGGCAGCATGTTGGTTCGGCTCCACTGGACAATTCTCAAATATGTAGTCAGTAGTTATTAAAATTCTCAAAATTAATGAAACCTTGAATGAGCTTAAATAGAAGCATTCTTTTGGATTGTGAGTACGCATATGTGAGTGCCATGTACGAGACAACAAAGGATTAAAATTTTAATGATAGATTAAATAGACCATCATTTGTTCCTTTTTATTAACAACTTGTCTCTGCATTGTTCTCACATAGGGGTACAGTAATGTATAAAAAATGTATTATTGATGAATTGTAAAACAAATATTTTTTTTAAAAGAGTATCGATGGAGTTTCTTGCTCGTTCTTCTCCATTCGAAACTACAATTTGGAACGAGCACCTAGCTTCACTGACGAACAGACTGACAGACTACTATTCTATTTTGACGTTTCAAAAGTACCTATTTATGGTTTATTTGGAATAAATGATTTTGATTTGATTTGATTTGCAGCCTCGGCCTAGAGCAGTAGAAGGAACGGGGGCTTTTTAGTCAGTAAGAGCCTGACTCTTCCTCTCGCCTCACCCTGGGCGGGAGAAGTCATTTAATGTTTGCCCCGTAACAAAAATGTTATGGAAAACAAGCTTATTGCTGCAAATACTCCATAATAGCTTCCACTCGCTAGGAATATTGATAAAAAGTAATCCAGGATATCTACACATCAAGTTTCTGGCAAACCGGTCCAGCCGTATTTGCGTCAAAGAAAAATAAATATACATCCATACATTTGGACACCCGCAACAACAAAGGAGTAACGACTGCGTTGCCGACCGGATAAGGGATTCCAATATTTAAGGATTGGGAAGGGATGGGGAGAGGGGGAGGGATTGGGCCTCCGGTTACCTCACTCACACACGGTTGTTCCACGTCGGTTTCTGTGAGGCCGTGGTCCATCGAGCCGAAGCTTGCTCTCCCACATTAACGTTCACATTTATAATACTTAAGTAGGATTCAATACAGGATTTCAGTACTACATATAATAGAAAAACTCATAATAATTCAGTTGGTAACAGACGGATAACGGTACTATTAGTAAAATAGTGACTTGCAGAAATTCTAATTTATTAATAAATCTATTTACTAACAAGAAAACATGACTTTGCAAAAGTATAGGAGATTGAACTGCATAGTAATACTCATATCTTGGATCATAAGATTCTTGTTATTGAAAACAAAATTATTGCAAGTAATGTATGCATACCGCAATTAAGATGGTACCTATGTATAGTAGATAGCTAATGGGTAATACGGTAATAGACTTCAAATTCAGTCAAAAGCAGCCAACTGCCACTCGAACGTGCCCATGAAAGATTCATTATAAGCAAGTTTTACGATTTTAAGATCTCAAACGTGTTATCCGTAGGTACGTTTTCAAACCGAAAAAAAAACTGTGTTTATATGTTAGCATACGCAAATCTTCTTAACTAACGGACGGATTTGAATCAAACTAGCTAATAAACCTGGGTTTAATACGTTCTTAAAATCGAAACAAAAATATGTACCTACCTACATTTTTATAAACTTCCATAGGCAGGTAGGTTAGGGGTAGGCATCTGGTAGGAGAATGGGTGTCGTCATTGTGAGAATCACCCGGAAGACACTGTGGAGCATACGGTGGCGCTGTGCCCTGCTTGGGCTAAGCGCCGCCGTGTCTTCAGGGAACTGATCGGCGGCGACGACCTCGCGCCTGTCCCTAGTCGAGGCCATCGTGCGGAGCGATAGGAACTGGGAAGCCGTCCCCTCTTCCTGCGAAGCAATGATGTTTGTAGCACCTTGGGTGAGTGAAGACAAATGATAAGTTTCCTTTCTCAAAAAAAGGCTTGCTGACTAAAACCGTACAAACCTGTTCCTTCTCCTGCGAGAAAAAAAAATGCACCTATTCCAAATGACTATTCAACGTAGACAAAATTATGACCAGAAGCTGGCTTGTGTTGGTAGGTAATATTATTGCCCCCTACTGAAGTGTATAGTTTATCGATCAATTATGACCCTTATTGTTTTTAAATAATGCTCATGTCATTATGACACTGCAAATCGCGTATTATCTGAAAAGAAACGGACAATTGTTTATAAATATTTATTTCTTAACAGTTTTGATTGGTAATGATGATATCCAATACAGACCTGTATTATGTTATATCTATAAGTAGATACTTTAAGTAGTTTTCCAAGCTTATAGGTTGTTTAAAGTCCATCACGTAGGTACCTAGTCTTTATCTGATATATAATGTTGTATGCATAATGTTGTAAATAGTTGTTTAATCGCGTCTTTGTATGCGGATAAAATAACTAAAACAAGTTCAGGTTGCTACCCTTGCTAGGAGCAAGCTACCATTGGTCGCCGACCACAGACCCGCGCTTACGATAGCCGGAGATCACGGCTCGGTCCCCGGCGACTGGGGCGTGAGGAGGATAGTTTTCTCCGCCTCCTCCTTTGCGAGTATCACTGCTTGACAAAAAGGGAAGACGGCTTTCCAGTTGCCTTCGCTCCTAAATATGTTGTTGGGGCCCCATCTGACCATATGGAATGGAGTCATTTTTCTGTACGGACAGGTCGGCAAGGTGATGCCACGTCCTTATAAAAGAAAACCAAAGTGAAATAATGCTTGCATTGTGTTTGTGTGGGTAAAGTTATCGGTAGGTACCTACCTAAGATTAGAAAACATCAGACGTTATACGTCCTATACGTATACGTACCTACTCATTTTATTTTCCTTATTTTCACCTTTCCATAAAAACCCGTGACTCAACAAAAATATGAATGAACTAAATGCCTTCGACCGACCGACTCGCTTTATCTATAACTTAATCGGTTAATACATATTGTGACCTTTTTATATTTTAAAGTTAACCGTGAATCAGCAAATTATCTTATTGTTATGTAAACAAACCTAAATAAATAATATTTGTTTTAAATTATGTGTACCTAAGTAATAAGTATGGTTTTAATTGGTAATGATGACCATATGGAATTCAAACTGGGAATGCATTAACCAAAGATATTTTTGCTAAATTCCAATTTGTGAAATGTGATGATTTTAATAACAATAATAGTGTACTGTTAGCGAGGGTCTGCTCATTTCAAGTACAACTGCTAAGTAACCCTGGTTCTAGTGCGATTTACCCGAACCCAAGACGGACAATAAATTTTTGATTGTAGATTTTCTCCAGTATTTACCAAATATCATCATCATCATCATCATCATCAGTGCCCACTGCTGAGCAAAGGACTGTTATCACACGGAGAAGGTTAGAGCATTAATCACCACGCTTGCTCATTGCGGGTTGGCGATTTCAAACTTTTAATTAGAAATGGGTCAGTCCAGGTTTCCTCACGATGTTTACCTTCATCGTACGTCAGTGGTGTCTAAATAATCATAGAAAGTACCTACACATTTCTCGGAAAAAGTCACATTGGTACTTGCCAGGTTTCGAAGCCACACCATCATGCATGAGAAGCGGGCCGCTTAACCCCCAGGCCACCACAATTTAATATAGGTAAATCAAAAGGCAAAGCAATTCCCCGGAGCTGTTGAATGTACTGTAGCCCCAGCCTGGAGCCTGGAAGTAAGAGTCTGACAGACTATCCCCCTCTCTGGGCTGGATTTGATGAATAATATTTTTACTCTGAAAGGAAAAACACCACCTCTTGAGTACATAGTCAATCATGAGGTTTTAGAGGGAGCAAGATGTGTTACAAAAAGAAAATACAAACCTATAAGGTTATATATATAGGTTTTAAATACGTTTTATAAATAAAATCTGATATAAATAAAACTACAAAAATGTCAAGGACCTGATGAAAAAGTCTTCTAAGGCGACCGGCGCCTTTGACTTAAAAATAACTTCCTAAGTATATCATGTTTAAGAAAGAACTCTCCCCGAATCAAATCTGGCTGAATCGAGACATACGATAAGATTTTATTCAATTTCTTAGGTACTTCAATTTAGTTAGTTATGTTCAATTTTTTTTACTTTTGGAAATATTATAAAAGAAACTTTTCGGGACTCTTTCATTTCACTAATCTTTTCTTTATTAAGTCTAGTTATTAATTCTCCGTGAGAAGAGTTTAATGACCTCTGAGACTTTGTCTAGGCACAAAAACCGTCCAAGTGCGAGTCGGACACACGCACGAAGGGCTTTCTACCAAAATCTTTGTGTTGAATAGGAGCCCCTGTAAGAGTGGGAGAGCCACGCATTTCTCTGAATGGGCGGGCTCAACTGGAGTGATACCACGGACATACAGAAAACCAGCATGAAAGGCTGGCAACGCTTTCGTAACTTCTACGATGTTGCGATCATCAATAACCATCAGTCCATTTCCAACAAAATCGCAGCATTTTGGCGTTTATAGCGTAAAGTTTTATTCAGTTTTTCCAAAAACTAAGAAATGAACACGTAGAGTCCGAAATATAATAAAATAAACGGAAGAAAAAAATTGAAAAAAATTAATCGCGTCTTTAAATTGGTATGTGAGAAAAAATACCTTTTCTTCTAACAACTGTTTTCACGATACAGGTCATGATGACAATACAACATTCTAAAATGAAACTAGTCGAAACACGACCCATCACAAATAAAAATTATAGATTATTATAATTATCAAAACATCTACATATGTTTTGCTTTAAACAAATGAAAAGAAAAAACATTGATAACAGCTGAGTATAAGTACGGCGCGCAATTTACATCTGTATGTTACTTGTTTATATCTGCTCGTGAAGTCAATTGCGTTCATATACGAACTCACGACAAAAAATTAACGATGGTGTTATTACCAATAAGCTTGGCCCTAATTACTATAGTACTGTTGTGGTACTTCATTGGGATATATAACGAAAATTATTGGAGAAAACGTGGTGTTGCCTTCTACAGCAAAAATAAGGTCTTGGGACCGATATGGGATTTCTTAGTATCACCACGTCCCTTGTTCCAGATCTTTGGAGATCTGTACAAACAATATAAACATGAACCAGCCGTCGGTATAGGTCAGTTCTTAACACCTGCAATGTTTGTGATAAACCAGAAAAATGTGCAGCAAGTTCTATCAGGTGACTTCCAATCTTTTAATCACCGAGGAGTGGAAAGCATTGAAGGAGACCAATTAAGTGATAACATTACCTTCATGAATGGTCCAAGATGGAAGCTGATGCGATCGAATATGACTCCATTGTTTACGGCAAACAAATTAAAAATATGTATTACATCATGGACAAAAGCGCTCAAGACTTTGTGAAATATTTGAAAAACAACCCCAAGACATGTGAAGGCAATTTATTCGAAACGCTTATGATGTTCTGTAATGCTGCTGTTTGTGGAGCTATCTTCGGTATTGGATCAGAGTCAATTTTTGATACACCATTCCTCAACGTTGCTAAAGGAATATCTCAATCAAATTTATCCATGAGATTGAAATTCGTTTCGTTTCTTCTTAGTCCAAAAATGTGTTCATATTTGGGTATAAAACTATTCAAAGAACATGAAGAGTTCTTCGTTAAATCTATTGGTGAAGTGTTGAAACGAAGAGATCAGGAAAATGTAAAGAGACACGACTTCGCGGACATTGCTCTAGCTATACAGAAGAATGGTACCATGAGAGACCGGACAACGGGATACGAGATAGAGCCTACGACCGGTATACTCTCTGCACAGGCTTTGTTCTTCTTCACTGCTGGCGTAGAGCCTTGTGCTAATGCGATCTATGCGACGTTGTATCTTCTGAGTGTACATCCAGATATATTAGCAAAAGTGCACCAAGAGATAGATGAACATTTTGTGAAATACAATAACAATGTAACTTACGACGTCATTTGTGAAATGGAATATACAGAAAAGGCACTGAGTGAAGCATTGAGAATGTTTCCTCCAATTGGATATTTGACTAGACAATGTGTCCAGGATACTGTCCTACCTGTAGGTAATATCCACGTTAAGAAAGGAACAAAAATGTTCACTCCAATTTATGATATCCACCATGACCCAGAACTGTATCCAGACCCAGAGGTGTTTGATCCAGAGCGATTCTCCAAAGATAGGAGACCCAATGACGACATTTATATGCCATTTGGAATGGGCAACAGAACTTGTATTGGTGCGAGGTATGCCAAGCTACAAGTGCAGGCTGGTTTAGTGCACGTCCTACGAAACTTTACGGTTGCATCGAAGAAAACAAATGAAAAGGTAACATTTACCCATGATGCGTTTAATGTGAGACTAAAAAATGTTGATGTTCAGCTTATTCCTAGAAATGTGAAATAGATAATTTTGTGACACAAAGTGGCTGTTTAACAAATGCGGCAAAGTTAAATTTCGTGTAACTTGTGAACCATGCACGTAAAATAATATTATTAGATTGTGCAACGATTACCTTATTCAATTTAAATAATTGTGAGTAAAATTCAATGTAACAAGGAGCCTTTGTATTATGCAAGGTACAAACCCTTGCCGTTTTGTTAAGTGATAATAAATGAGCAATAAAAATATCATGTTTCTAACTTATTTTATACACTTCATAGAATACACAAAATAATGATGAACTTATTATAGGTATAAAACCTAACCCAACAAATACACGTAAAGTGCAAATATTACTTTGATATTTTTCAAACCCGTCTCAAGATGCTAAGTGTCCAATCAATAATCCAATCCAATCAAGTCCAATCTTGCCTTACCTTGTAAGGGATAAACACGAGATAGTGCTGTTTGCTGATGATACCTCACTATTATTCAAACTCAGACGGCGACAATCAGTTATTGACAATGTAAACAGTGCTCTTTTAGAAATAGTTCACTGGTTTGGTGTTAATAACTTATTACTAAACGAAACTAAAACTAAATGTATTAAATTCACAACACCAAATGTTAAACAGGTAAAAACCAGTGTGCTTGTCAAGGGCGAGGAGTTGAGTCTTGTAGATACGACTGTCTTATTCTAGGTATAACCCTGGACGCTAAGCTTCAGTGGGACTTACATATAGATGGCGTGTCGAAGAAGCTCAGTTCTGCAGCATATACCGTTAAAAAATTAGAAATTTACCAGATGAAGATACAGCGCGGTTAGTTTAATTTAGTTATTTTCACAGCATCATGTCATACGGTAGGTATTTTGTTGTGGGAGAATGCTGCTGACATCCAGTCTATTTTTGTTCTGCAGAAAAAGGCTATTCGATCAATTTATAATCTTAGTCCGAGGCATTCACTGAGAGAATTATTTAAGGAATCTAAAATAATGACTGTTGCCTCTCAATGTACCTATGTTTTTATGAAAATGTAATTCACGCTCATAAAAACAAAAGCTTATTTGAGAAGTATAGTGATATTACATAATATTAACACGAGGGGGGAAAACAAATATGTTGTGCCTGCCTCCAGGTTTCAGAAAATAAGTAGTTCGTTTAGATGTCAATGTATACGCTTTTACAATAAAATTCCTAGCGATGTTCAAAATTTGAGCCTCAATAAATTTAAAAGTGTAATAAAGGCTAAACTTTACTGTAAAGCATTTTATAAAATAAAAGACTACTTAGAAGATAGTCAGGCTTGGGAATGAGCCGCTGTAACGTCTGCACAGGTCATGTTGACATGTTTGTAACATAAGTTGCACTTTTATATACAACTTGACATTACGTTTATTTATTTTTTATACAATGACATTATCACCTATTATGATATTTTTTATTTTTTTTGACATTTTTTTATTTATTTATTGACATTTTTATTATTTTATATTATTGTTAGTGTAAGGACCGTGTGAGTCTTGCTGTGCTTTTTGATTACCAGTTATCTGCGTTCTAACAGTCTGAGTACTTGCGCGACCCTCCCAAATGTTCTTTTGATCGGTATTGTTCGTCGGACAACTCAGCAGCACTAGCTATACTGGTTGCAAATTGCCACAAGCGTGCCTGTCTTCAGAACGGGTCCACTTAAACTGGTGTGGTTCTTTCCTCAAAAGACCACTACAGAATGAACTTGCACGGTTCTCTCACATTATGTTATTTAACATTGTCTGGACTTGAAAAGAGACTGACCTCTGAGTTTGTTTCGGCATTTCTTCTCAGCGTAGTCAGATAGGAAATGCCGGCTTCATCTAGTTTTTCACATATAATTTCACGTGTAAAAGTGCAGTTTTATGGCTTATTTGCAAAAATAAATTCATTGTTTCATTGTTTCAATATATTGTTAGACATTTTCAAAAAGAAACAATCTGTGTTTCTTGCAAAGAGATCAGAGTGACATATAGTAAATTGTTTTATCTCTAAACTTGTTTGCGTTGATGTACGCAAATAGAAGAAATTTCATTGTAGGTATCATGGGGTAGCTCGCCGCTCGACTGAAACTAGACCCTCAAAGAGCCAATAGACCACCACAGTGGAGCAATATTATATAGGGCTGGTTCATTGCGGCCTCGGCCTAGAGCAGGAGAAGCAATGGGGCGGGTTTTAGTTAGTAAGAGTCTGACTCTCTTTCTAGCCTTACCCTGGGCGGGAGAAGTATAAGGACGAAAAAAAATACAGCGTCGTCTTTCAAAATCTCCAAATAAATAAGCGAGACATTAATAATCTTCTTGTATTATTTCATAATATTATTGTTGATATGTACTATGTAATACTATCTTTGGTATCCTATTATTAATATTATAAAAGACGGTGTGAATAAACGGTAGATGTTAGTTACTCTTTCATGTATAAACCACTGAACGTAACTTCATGAAAATTGGCAGAGTGTCAGATTATAGTATGGAATAAAACATAGGCTAAGCTGGTAGTAGTCGACATTATTAGATATATCTCACAAAAATACGCTAGGCGGGCAAAAGCCTCTGGTAGTAGTTTACATTATTAACTCACTAAGTATCTGCTTTATTTTATTGAAGTGATTGCATGTGCTACCGAATTACAAACTTAATAATACTTTTCTGTTCCTATATCCCTATGTATGCTTTAATCTTTCGAACTATGTACGTAGTAGACAGATTGATTGAAGAGGACGCTTAATATGTATAATAATATACATTAAATAGTATTATTATTGTGCCCGTGCAAAGCTTGGGCGGGTCGCTAGTAACTTAAAAACACCAAATCAATGGTAGTTATTATAAGTATGTAATGTATGACTATCGGTGAGCCAATTGCAAATCCTCACGATGAGATTTACTTGGTAAAAAAACAATGGAGTGTCGTAGCGTGATTTTATAATTTATTCTGCTATTTTAAAATAGATACGAAACTAACTATTAAATAATTATAATTAAACCTGTAGCTTATATTAAAATACTAAAATCATTACTATATAACACTTTAAAATATGAACAATTTAAAAATACATAAAATAAACAAAAACTTTCATAGAGTATCGAAAATTTCCTCACCGTTGTTGAGAGGTAAGGTGCCCAAGGAGAAGTTATTTGATGATTTTCCCTTTCACAAAATAGGTACCCAAAATTCTGGTCCCCTGCCTTTTCGAGATCAAGAGATCATCAGCCTATGCGCGTCTACCGCTGAGCAAAAGTCTCTTGGGCACACGGAAAAGGTTTAGAAGTTCGAGAGAAATATGTTAAATGTGGGTAGTTTTACAACTGTTCTCTCAAATCCAACTCCTCCTGCAGCTATTGCCTTGTTTAAGGTATTCATGCATCAATGAGACTTTGAGTCTTTAATATGGTAGATGTATGTAAGTAAAAAAGTCCTTACGGGGTTGACATGTGTTAGAACAAAAGCCCATAAAACTATTGATTAAAAAAAAGAAGTTCGAGAGATAACACTATTCATTAAACTGAGATAAACTTTACAGCTACTACTATTGTACTAGGTATACCTACTTAGACATTATTACATAAAAGTACAAATATATACATACATATTATACATTAAATGCACTTACAGCAGCTAGTATTACTTAAAACTAAAACCATGTACCAATTTTTATATAACCGTGTCCACGCTGTTAGTCTAGTCGGCGGATTCAATTCGACATCAAAAACCACTCATTGATTTTCTGCAGTGGGTTCCGGGAAATAAAACGATTTCGAACGTACGTAGGTAGCGGATAAATTCGGTCTTTGTTCGAAGTAAGTGCTGTCGATTTACTTACTCACTTTATATTTAAGAAGACTAAATATAAACTAAACTAAAGATTTTAGAATTTTGTTAGAAATATAAAAAAAACTTGTCAACATCTTGGTGTTGCGAGTCCAAGCCTAATAATGTACTGAGGCCCTGGCCCAGAGCTGGAGGAACGGGGTGTTTTTTTGCCCCGTCCAGGGTAGGATAGGAATGCATTAGATCTCTCCTCAATAAATCCGTGCTAAAAAACCAGCGCCAACCGCGCAGTCAAAATATTACATCATTTTTATGTTTATTATGTAATAGGTGATAATCGATAGTCAAGGTCACGCGGCCTTTGATTCAAATTCACTCACCTATGTTTGTTTGTTTTTAAGCCATTGCCTAACAAAATCTATACTAATAATATAAAGAGGAAAAATTTGTAAGTTTGTATGTAGGGGTAATCTTTGGAACCGCTGGTCGGATACGGTAGTTTCCAACTAGTCAAATTCAATACTTTTATCCAAATGTCAAAAACGATACTTTTCTATGAAACATTGAATTATGACGTCATAGCATTTTTGCGTCAAATAGCTTACTTATTTTTAAAAAATTAGCTAAAAAGTATCTAAAACTTAGTGTATCGATCGATCGATGAATAAAAGTAAAGTTATTTTTCAATATTTTATCGTATTAAAACGTCGAATTAATTTATTTTTGACCTAGGAAACTACCCAATTGCCAAAATTATTTCACTGATAGATAACTACAATGTTCCTGAGTGCTATAGGCTATAAAAAATCACGCTACAGTCAAATGAAGCCGAGCAGTGGGTGAATCTGCGTGAGAGTAGCTAGTCTTAAATGTACCGGTAGGGTTTCGCGTTAAATATACCTAATATCTATTATAATTTAACAAATATTTTACGACTAGTGATGATGATACTGCACTACATGATTTGACTGCACGGCTGACGCAGTTGGCTACTGAGCACGTGTCAAGGGTTCGGCTCTTGCACGGAACAACTCTTTGTGTGATCTACAATTTCTTGTTCTGAATCTCGGGGTAAGTAATATGTATCTGAAATTCTGCGTGTAAAGACACGATACAGGACAGAGAGAGATTTTTCGAGTCTCGATCTCTCTCTCTCAATAAAAAAAACTTCATAAAATCCGAAGTGCAGAGAACTGACGCTCGCTTTGATGTCTAATTGCTTTAATGTGAGTATGGAGCGAGTTTAAGTTACTGGGGACATTATGGGGAATACAGGGTTTTATTTTTGAGAAGGGAAAATGATTCTATGACTTCTCCTGCCCTTGGTAGGGATGAGAAAGTGTCAGTAAGGCTTTTATTGACTAAAAAACAACCGGTTCCTTCTCCGACTACGAGCCTTTGCATTTGCACCTGCACATCGGATATTTAGGGCAAAAGCATTATTCGAGCCTCCTCCGCACTGGATAGGGCTAGAAGCCATTTAAAGATTATCCACCTCGAACAAAAAAAGCTAGCAATGAATTCGTAAATCTTCAGGGGATGCAAATGTCTCAACCAGGAACCATCAGGTGATCCTTGTTTGCTTCCCTTGCATCTCATAAAAAAGGGGTAAGCTTGTAAGAGACATATCCAGTTTAAATTATTTAAAATCGTATTTAATTACTTTTATTCTTTTAATCGTATTTACTTTTGTACCCAACGAACTATACGAAAACCAGACGCTGACTTCCAACACTTTTTACAACGAATTTGTACTCCGTGACTAAATGGAAACAAAATGAGATGATTAACCCCAGATGACTATTTTTCGTTTCACCCTGTGAAATCATCAGAGAATCCTATTCAAAAACCCCTTCAAAAAAGATAAATATTTTTATTCAATCGGAACAAACAACTCCCTTAATATTGGTTAATTGTAATAACTCTGGCATCGTTCGTGGAACTATTTAAATGTTGTTGGCAATTTGTACAAGATCCAAGTAGACTTTCTTTTAATTTTTATTGTGGTGCTTGGCAACTTCTGCCTGTCACCATGCGGTAAAGCTGTTAATTTATGTAAATACGTTATTCGATGTTAGATGACTCTTATCTGTTTTATAATCTGGTCAATGAATTGTGTAACATCATCATAACATAACATTTTTTGTTATCTTACCCATACAATGACTTTGCAGTTTTGAAAACCAGTTTTTTTACACAAACTAACATTTGTTTACATTCGGACGTTGCTGTGTTTTTCGATATAGTTTTTTTTTTACAAATTTTTTATGGGTTTTTGTTCATATAATAATGTAACTGACTTGTTTTTTAAGACAAATTAAGTACCATATTTTGTATTTTATTGTTAGTTAAATAAGCCAGTTTCCCGTAGCGTTTTTTTGTTGAATAGATCGGCAAACGAGCAGACGGATTACCTGATGGTAAGCAATCAGCGACGCCCATGGACACACGCAACACCAAAGGAGTTACGAGTGCGTTGCCTGCCTTTTGGGGGTAAGGGTTGCGGTTATAGGGATCGGGAAGTGATAGGGGAAGGGGCGGGATTGGGCCTTCGGTAACCACACTCTCACGGCGAAACACAACGCTGTGGTTATTTCACGCCGGTTTTCTGTGGGGCCATGGTATCAGTCCGGTCGAACCGAAACCATTCGTGCCGAAGCTTGTCTCTCCCACACTCTAAGCATGAGGGTTAGAAACCTGCCGAATACAAGTGTGACTTTTTCCGAGTTATATGTACTTTACAAGTTTATAATAGATACCACTGACAAAGAATGATAGAAATTAGGACATTGTGAGAAATTTTGATTTTTAGTCGTGATAATTTGAGACACAACAGAAGAACAATAGGTGCGCGATCGCCGATAAGAAGATCCAGAGAGTTATCTCGTATTCAGTAATGGGTAGGCTTCCCGAATAATGTGTTTATGAGACATTGATCATAGATCAGAATGCAAATGCATGCTTTTAATAAATCACAAATTATTTCCAATGTGACTGAGTTATTCCGCTGACATTTATCAAAAATATCTTCGAATTGAGAGTGTTAGACTCTTACCAATTAAGAAGCATTCCGTTCCTTTTCCTGCTATAGGTCGAGTGCGTGATACCCTATTGCACTTGCCTTGCAACCCAGGCTGAACATAAGCTGAGCAACCCTTTTGGGTCCCATCTGTGGTGTTCGAATGCCTTATGAAGGCACACTAATACGATGGTAATCATGAAAGATTATACAAAGCTCTTTACATTATTTCCCCACCCCCAGGTGGGGAAGGATTGGGCCTCCTACAAATCCCTCCTCAATCCCTAATCTCCAAATCCCTAATCCCTAAAAGGTCGGCAACGCACTCGTAACTCCTCCTTGCGGCTGCAGGTGTCTATGGGCGGCGCTGATCGTTACCACCAGGTAATCCATCTGCTCGTTTGCCAATCTATTACATAAAAAAAAGAATATAAACTGTCCGATTTACGAAGAACTAGTACGAATCTCGGCTCTTACTTTAGTGTGTAGTGCGCATTACTTATGTGTTTTGAGAAAAGAAAACAATATTCTGTTTTCCACGTGCTGGATTTTTGCAAAAGGACACAGATTAAAATATAGTTTAGCTAAATAATAATGACTTTTAAAGTTTTTATTTGTTAACCAAAGTCATGACTCAGCAAAGTTAGAACGGCTGTCTCGCAAAAATAGAGATAATAACAGTATACTGTTTCTGGGCTGCAAATTATTGATAACAACTGAGTATAAATAATGAGAAGCAAAAATATTATATTTATATAAGGTTTATCAGCTGAAGAAGTAACAAGTGTTTGTTGTGATTTTTTATTAATATTAGAGACAAAATGTTGTTCTTACCTTTGAGTTTAGTAGTAGTAGGCTTAGTACTAGCTTGGTACCTAATAGGGAAACGCAATGAGAACTACTGGAAAAAGCGTGGTGTGAAATTCTACAGCAAAAATAAAGTGATTGGACCTTACTGGGACTATTTCATAACGCAGCGTGCGCTTTTTGAGGTTTTAACAGACCTGTACAAGAAATATAGACATGAACCAGCAATCGGTATTGGTCAAATCTTAACGCCAGGACTGTTTGTCATCGACCCGAAAAATGTGCAGCAGGTTCTATCAGGAGACTTCCAGTCATTTAACCACAGAGGAATGGAAAGTATTGAAGGGGAGCAACTGTCCGAAAATATTCTTATGTTGAATGGACCAAAATGGAAGCTGATGAGGCAGAATATGACTCCATTATTTACGGCAAACAAATTAAAGAATATGTATTACATCATGGACAAAAGTGCTCAAGACTTCGTTAAATATTTGAAAAACAACCCTAAGACGCATGAAGGTAACTTATTCGAAACGCTTATGATGTTCTGTAATGCTGCTGTTTGTGGAGCTATCTTTGGCATTGGATCAGAGTCAATTTTTGATACACCTTTCCTGAAAATGGCTAAAAATATATCACAATCCAATTTTCATATGAGAATGAAATTTGTTATTTATAGTCTCAGTCCAAAGTTGTACAAATTATTGAGATTACAAGCTTTCAAGGAGATTGAAGAATTTTTCATTGGTTCCATAAGTCAAGTGATGAAATCAAGAGAACAAGACAGTGTAAAGAGACACGACTTCGCGGACATTGCTCTAGCTATACAGAAGAACGGCACCATGAGAGACCGTACAACGGGATACGAGATAGAGCCTACGACCGGTATACTCTCTGCACAGGCTTTCTTCTTTTTCAGTGCTGGTGTAGAACCTTGTGCTAATGCGATATTTTCAACATTAATTCTCTTGAGCAGTCACCCAGAAATACTAGAAAAAGTGCACAAAGAAATTGATGAACACTTTGAAAAGCACCAGAACAACATAACTTACGACGTTATATCTGAGATGAAGTATACTGATAAGATGCTGAGTGAAGCTATGAGAATATTCCCTCCAATTGGTCACTTGACTAGACAGTGCGTTCAAAATACAGTTCTGCCTGTTGGCAATATTCCAGTAGAGAAAGGAACAAAAATGTTTACTCCGATTTATGCTATTCATCACGACCCAGAATTATACCCAGACCCAGAAGTGTTCGACCCGGAGCGATTCTCCAATGAAAGGAAACCCAAAGATAGCATTTACATGCCATTTGGAATGGGTAACAGGACATGCATCGGCGAGAGGTATGCCAAATTGCAAGTCCAGGCCGGTTTAGTGCACGTCTTAAGAAACTTCACTGTTAAACCACAGAAACATGTGAAGGTAACATTTGCTCACGATCCACTTAATGTAAGACCGAGAAATTGCGATGTCCAACTAATTCCTAGAAATGTCTAATCGGTGTCCTAAATGTGCTTTCATTGATCCTAATATTACAAATGGTTGTGGTTAGCCTAGTGTCATCACTTGATTGATTCACACAGAAATTGCTCTGTATAAGCAAGTAAGAGACACAATGATGTAATATGCTATTCTAACAAGTGTTCAACAGTGGGAAGAAGGCATCTAACGTCAATGTCTGGTAATGTGATGGCCTAGTCGTAGTGGTTTAAATAATGTATTCAATTGGTTATTTCAACTTGGAATCAACCTATTATTATAACAATAGCTTTTATATTATAATCAATGATTTTATAGCAAGGCCAAGACGTTTATTGTACTTAGTGTTTAAGACTATTTTTACCCTGAATATATTATGTTTACATTTTTAATAAAATATTATTCATTGTATCACTACTTAGAAGTTTTATTGCGTATCACACAAAGGTTAACTAGAGGTAGTGTCTGTAGGTAGAGAGGTGGGCATGCTAGAGGTAGTACTTACTTGTGTGACCACCAGGTAACATGATATAAGTCTATGCTTTGCACATGAAACACGTAGTTCCACAGGGTTCGCGTTTAGGACCATTTTTTTTAAACATCTCTCTTGATAATTTGATTTTTTGATTTTCACATTGACAATCAATAAAACTAGCACCTCTTACTAGCTTCACTGACGAACTGATTGACAGACTACTATTCTAATTTGACGTTTCAAAAGTGCCTTGCTATGGTTTAATTGAAATAAATGAATTTGACTCAGTTAATGTTTTATACATTAACTGAGTCAAACCTATTTGAATTAATAAAGACAAGGCAATTCCCACACGGATCAACTGTTTGATCCACAAATTGTTGTTCTGTGTCTGGGTGTGTGTATCTTTATGAACACACCCATGATACAGGTGGAATTCCTAGTGTTTGGAAATTTAAAAAAAACAATACCTACAATTTGTACCAATGATTGGTATGAGTAAGTACAAATAACAATAATCATAACAAACTTGTCATTTCTTTGGCTGTTTTACGTAATAAAGATAATAATATTTTCCTTGTTATTGTAATCAGCTGTTATCAAGTGTACCAAAGAATAAGTATTTTTTAGATATCTCTTGTTTTAACCGGTTCTATCGTTCTTATTTTTGCCGAGTCATTGTTTTGGTTGATATATAAACATTTTGAAAGTCATTCTTATTCGTTTTTTTTTAATTAAAGTACCTACTTGTGTTAAATTATCTTTCTGTTACCAATTAAAAGAAATGAACAAAATGATATTGCTAATACTAGTCGCTAGTTTGTGTCCCATTTCATTTAGATTAAAGATGTCTAAAGGGCCTCTGTGCCATAGGCATAGGCCCCTTGTATACCTCCCAAAAGAGTAAGACCCTGTGGCTCACGGTTGGTAAAGATTTACTAATTGTACAAATGGTTATTATTTTGTTTATTGCCTTAATATACATAGGAGTAAAGAACGCATGTCTTCGCGTATATCATTCACAAACAAAGCTTCATATTGCTGTCCCAATGTGCATCGAGCGGTGTGACTGCAGGGGAAGTAACGACACCTTCAACGATATCAAAATAATGTATGACTGATCAAATGTATGGGAAGTTTCAATGTACAGTCAGCTCCAAAAGTCGATGAACAGAATCAACTTACCAAAACACCTGTTCACAATAAAACGCCATAAGTTGTAGTCGCAACTAGGAAACAAAATAGCCTGTACACCAGAAATTTACAAAAGTCGTTACACACGACTTATTCAAAAGTATCTGTGCACTATAGTATTCCTAAAGTCGCTGTACACCTTCAATCCAAATGTCGCTGAACATCATTGTATCAAAAGTCACTAAACAGCGGTAAAGACAAAATTAGGTTAACAAAGTATATGTCGGCGCACTGGCCATCAGTGCATGTAAAACCTCTTTGTTATACGTCGATGTCAAACTTCACTGTCAACTGTCATAATTATTTCAAGTCCATAGCGAACACGCTCTGGTGAGGCGGCCATCTTGTAAAATAGGACAATTAGTGTTGGACCTTCGTAGAATACGCACGCGGCCACGTGTTCGGTGGACGTTAAGTTCAAATTCAACCTAATTTTAATTATCCTTAGTTAAATTGTAATTGTTGTGATTGTAATATCAAGAGTTGTAAGAAGAGTGATTATAGCAACAGTTATTTTATTGAAATACTGTCTTCCTGCCCAAGCGGGGCACACTTCCACCGTATATTCTACCGTGTCCTCCGGGCGATCTATGCGAGGTGACACCCGAACGTTTCCTCCGAACAAGATAAGAAAGAAAACAGCGTTTTTCAGCGTCGGTGTTTGTTGTAGTTGGGTTTTAGTTTTAATACTTTTTATTAGTGTACTATTTTTGTGTTAAAGTGTATTTGTGTTGCATAATATCAACAAAAGAATGAACTAATATTAAGTAGTAAAAGGTATGAACGAAAAGATGTGAATTATATGCAATCAGCACATGAATACAAGCAAAGTCACCAAAAAATGCTAGTAATACATATATGTATATTCAAAATGTACAAGTAAAGCGCTTTAAAATGATACCAAACACGGTATAATTATCTTAACTTTATTTTTTTACTCTGGTGTTTTGTCCGCTAGAGGACGTCGCATTAGATTTTGTAATACATCATATAACTTATAACCAGCGGACAATTAAGACGTTTCTAATGATATGTCATATGTCGAATTCTTTAAATTTTAGCATTACCGTAGTCGGGTAAAAATAATAAATTAAAGGAAGGTAGGCTTTGTAAGATTTGCGCAAAGTAAATTACAAGTACCGTCACAAAAATCACTTCGTAAATCATTAGAGTTATGTTTATGTTATTTCATAAATTATAGATTAGTATGATTACTGACAATAAAATATAATTTATTTGTAAATAAGTTTTGAAATATGTAGATACTAACGTGTTAACATACATTATTAAGGTCTAGCAAACACTGCTCCAAAAGTAGCTGAACAACATAAGCGTCAAAAGTATATTAACACGAGGCAACATTCAAAATATACTTTGTTAACCTAATTTTGTCTTTACTGCTGTTTAGTGACTTTTGATACAATGATGTTCAGCGACATTTGGATTGAAGGTGTACAGCGACTTTAGGAATACTATAGTGCACAGATACTTTTGAAATAAACGTGTGTAACGACTTTTGTAAATTTCTGGCGTACAGGCTATTTTGTTTCCTAGTTGCGACTATAACTTATGGCGTTTTATTGTGAACAGGTGTTTTGGTAAATTGATTCTGTTCATCGACTTTTGGAGCTGACTGTACATAGATGCCTGTTAGGCTAATAGCAACTTTATAAGGTACTATAGCTATACCCCAGCAACGTTCTTTAGACACTATGTTCATTGAAGATAGTTTAGTTTGGCAACAGTATAAGAATTTTTCAAATCGATTACTTACTTTCGGAGCCTATTGAATACAAACAATCCAATTTTTCCGCTTTAAAAAATATTATATTAGTATAGATTTTCATCTATGATCTAAATTCAACGATCAGCAGAATTTATTATGCTCTTATAGTTTCATCGATACCTTCCTTTAGAGAGAATAAAATCCGTTGTTGCAGGTCAAGAGCAATAAGGAACCGCGGCCTCGGCCCAGAGCAGGAGAAGGAACAGGGAGGTATTAGTCAGTAAGAGTCTGACACTCCCTCTCGCCTCACCCTGGGCGAGAGAAGACATTTAATTATGTGACGTGATTTTCCCTACTCGAAAAATAAAATAATTTATAGGTAATATGATATTATCAACATACATCACCCGTCAGTCTACTTGGACTGATTACATGCATCATTATCGAGTCAGATTTTTTTGTCAGGGGAAAATCATCTGCCACTCAGGGTAAGGCGAGAGAGAGAGTGTCAGACTCTTACTGCTGTTCATTATGTTATCGAGTCTAATAGGACTTGTGTCATCAACACATGAGGATTCTAGTAATAATTTGAAGCTCCATCTGGAGCTGCGAACATAATGTAGTTGAGAGAAAGTTTACCGAACAAACGAACAAACTTGAGGCTTATTGTGTGCACTGCGGCAACGATAACTTGTGTCATTACTCGCACTCGAGATAAAGCCAAGCTAATATTATAAATGTGTGTGCATGTATGTTGGTACGTCTTTCATACCAGGGTCGTTTTTTGGTAACGTTTTTGGATAACTGATAAACAACAAATAATAATTTGACGGCGCGTCGATTATTTATATAAATTGAATTTTGAAGGAGGTTTTATTATAATTCTCGGACGAGGGTACAATGAAACGTACTCTGGCGGAACGTCAAACAGACAGTTCTGCGTGCGCATTATGGTGGAGAGCGAGCGCTGTTACTGTCATAGGAGACGGATCGCCGTCGTCCGCTATTTTTGTAATTTATTCGGTCTAATTATAAAATCCTACGCCCTGCGATGGACTGTGAAGACGATGATCGAAATGTTGATGTTTGTACCAACCTCCCGGTGACTTCAAATTTTTTTTAAACCGCGGCACTGACTAAGTTTTTCTAGAATATATTTGTTGTTGTGTCCCAATCAATAGATGGCGCTGCTTTACTGTAACCATTTTCTTTCGTGGTATTATGTATCTCTTTACAGTTACTAAAGTTTTAATATGGTTATCATTACGAATAATTGTTGAAATTAAAGTTGATAGTTATCACCATAATTACTTTTACCATTATCAGTAAGAAAGAAGGCTTTCCTATATTTTTGAGTGAAAATATAGGAAAAATCATTTGAATTCTCTTGCGCTGGCTTTAGGGCAAAAGGGAGTGTCAGACTTTTACTGACTAAAAACCACCCCGTTTCTTATCTTGTACAATACTGAAGCTTCCCTCTTATTTTTTGCCCAATATTCACTTGGGGTCTTTGAACCAACGGAATAAGTAAGTAAGTCAGGTCGAAGTCTAATTGCGTGATAGATTCTGTTGTAGAATAGTAACTAGCCTGGAAACTTGTCGCGGGTTTGGTTCCCACAAGAAGAAATAATTTGCGTGCTTTATATATTGACTCGAGGTAAGTCCTAGATAGGAAAAAAATAATATCTGTGCAATTTGATAATATATGTTTACTCCTCATATTTTCAGTTCATTAACTATTTTTGTTACACACAGACAGACACACCCCTTTTAACTTCAAAAATAGGCTAGGTACAGGTCCAGTCGCCTTGTCGAAGTGGTATAAATGACTTAGGGCTGATTTTTCAATGGTTTGATGAATGTTATCTGAGGAATAAAATTGTTGCTGTCACTGTCTTAATCAAACATTCTGACGCAACAGCATCATAATTATTCCTCAGATAACTTTTATCTAACCATTGAAAAATCAGCCCTTAGACAAATAATGATTTAATTAATCACTTTCGTCACGTCTTTAATTTTGTTTCCAAGCTAAAGTTACAAATCATCTTTTCCGATAACGGAGTGTTTACCTTCTTGGTAATTTATCGATAAAACATTGCCTAATTATTCATTGATGCGCAATAACTATCTTGCTTCTTCACAATGATATTTCAAATATAAATATATTTTTCAAATATAAATGCATTCGATATAACCCATCTGGACCAAGATAATAACAAAATATCAAAATAGATAGATTAAAATGACAAGGCATATATTTGTTCTAAAAATAATATTTTGGTTGATAAGAAGTAATGTGTTTACATATTTCTATTTTAAAGTTTTGACTGGTTAAGCGTGTGCTGGGGGTTCACTTGTGTATTTAATTTGCCTTATAATTTTATTCTTTTAAGCCTTTTTAATACTTTGCCTGTAGCATCTCACATCCGCCTTGTTTTCGGATCCGAAGATATTCGACCTAGAAAATTATTCAAGGACAAAATGCTTGAATTTGCTTTTAATTACCAATAAGTATTTAATGCAAATTTGTCGCAGACGTGGGTCATGCTGCCACTCCTTCATGGCGATGTATCCACAGATCTTGCCTCAAAAACAAAGAAACGTAACTTTATTTTATTACTAGCTTTTGCTCGCGACTTTGTTCGCGTGGAATAGAGACTTACTGCAGATTTTGGTTTAAAAATTATCCTATGTCCTTTCTCGAGTTCCAAACTATGTATGTACCAAATTTAACACAAATAGGTTCAGTAGTTTAGACGTGAAGAAAAGACAGACAGACAGAACTACATTCGCATTAATAATATTAGTTTAAATTAGTTTGGATTATAAAAATCTCAAGGATTTCCTTGAGGGTTAAATTCAGGACTACATGGTTCTCCTTTTGTGATTTAAAATACAGAAGAAAACCCAGTCACCTTTGATGCTTTGCGGTACTAAACTTGGGTAGGTATTTTTCATTAGTAAAAATACTTAGTAGGTATACCTTTACAAACTAACTACGAATAGTTCCGTTTATAACCCTTCTTTTGCTTAGCCGTAGTTGGGTAAAAGCTACACCCCTTTTTTAAGAGGTTTGGGCAGATACATGGAAAAAGTTAGCACGAATTTTTGGTAAGTCACAATAAATAGTCCGCATTCGAACTTTTAGCTTTCTTCTTCGATAAATGCGGAATGCTCCATATTAACATCCACCCCACATTTAATAGAAGTGGAAGTTATAAAGAGATAGAAAGGTGCCCTCTTCTTAAAAGTCACACCAATTCGTTTTCATTAATATAAATGTAGATAATATAGTGTATATTATACTATCAATAGTTTATTGTACAGTTCAAGAGATAATACTAATTATATATTATATCATCCATATCATAAAGGCCAAGCTCAAGGTCGAAGAGTCTTGTAACCTTATGTAAAAAAGGAAGTTTTATAGGTTAGCCGTGTTATTGTGATATTTTACCTAAACAGACGTAACACAAATAAGTGTGGGAGAGCCATGCTTTGGCACGAATGGGTCGGCTCGACCGGAGTGATACCACGGCCTCAACCATAGAGTTGTGTTTCGCCGTGTGAGTGAGGTTACCGGAGGCCCAATCCTTCCCCTACCCCAATCCGTTCCCTTTCCCAAAATCTCCAAATCCCTAATCCCCAAAAGGTGGACAACGCACTCGTAATACTTCCGTCGTTACAGGTGTCCAAGGGCGACGCTGATTGCTTACCATCAGGTAATCCGTTTGCTCGTTTGCCGACCTATCACATAAAAAAAACAGATATCTTAACATCGTATCAGTGTTCGGTACTGATATTGGATCAGATAATATGGAAACACGTATCCCAATAAAGCAATGATGCCATTTTTTTCTCTCTAGTTGTTTCAGAAATACTATTTAGTAGTCTCTGGCAATATGAACGAACAACTATATTAGATAAGTGTGTTGTTTATTATATGGACTTTTTGGAATGTAAAACAAATTTACGTGCGTTTAGGCGTTTTTGCCCTACCTGTTCTGGAAGTAAGCACTATTAAGGAAGCTCACAAAAAGGATCCATTAAAATAGTAAATTTTCTGTGGTGTTTGGTGACTGTGTTTCCCAGTTGTACAGACTCTATTCTGCCTTAAAGTTTACTGCGTTAGATTTAGAAAGGGAAGTGGAAACTACTTATTGAATATTTTTTTCCCTCAAATAATATCTTATGATTGAATTCGTTCGGGAATCAAGACAGTCTTTCACGTCAGTGTTTTTTAAAAGTTAGGTTGAAAAGTAGCAATAAAACAAGATGATTTAAATACACACAAAATTTAATGCTTCAAAATATAAATATTTTACTTAATTAATTAATACCAGCTACTGCTGTGAATATAAAAATATTATTAAGCTTACACTATCGTAACAATTTTAAACAGATTTTACAATCTAATAAAAAGCAGCAGCTGCATCATGGACTGGACTTGAGGGAACACTCCACCTATCCTATAACAGGACCTATCCATTTGTGCCCTGGCTAAGACACATATGTCATTCTGTGATAGACCTGTAAATTTTTTCCGTGGCGCCATCTGCATGTGCCAGACGAGAAAGCCTCACAAAATAATTTTACTCATACAAGCTGTAAAAGGCGAATGCGCATATTTTTGAGGTGGGATTCCCCCATCAATTGATACATGAACATCTATTTAATTGCACGTGGAATTAATTCAATACTGATATTTCTAAGTCTTACATTAAGCGGATCATGGGCAAACTTTAACTTTCCACTTGTTTTGGACAGTTGAACAGTGAAGTTTCGCAAGACGTGCACTAAACCAGCCTGCACTTGTAGCTTGGCATACCTGGCACCTATGCAAGTTCTGTTGCCCATTCCAAATGGCATATAAATGTCGTCATTGGGTCTCCTATCTTTGGAGAATCGCTCTGGATCAAACACTTCTGGGTCTGGATACAGTTCTGGGTCATGGTGGATATCATAAATTGGTGTAAATATTTTAGTTCCTTTCTCCACTGGGATATTACCAACCGGTAAAACAGTGTTCTGAACGCACTGTCTGGTCAAAAATCCAATGGGAGGGAATATTCTCATCACCTCACTTAACACCTTCTCGGTATACTCCAGCTCATTAATAACGTCATACGTTATATTGTTACTGTTCTTTTCAAAATGTTCATCTATCTCCTGGTGCACTTTTTCTAATATGTCTGGGTGAGAGCTCAGAAGATACAACGTCGCGTAGATCGCATTAGCACAAGGCTCTACGCCAGCAGTGAAGAAGAACAAAGCCTGTGCAGAGAGTATACCGGTCGTAGGCTCTATCTCGTATCCCGTTGTCCGGTCTCTCATGGTACCATTCTTCTGTATAGCTAGAGCAATGTCCGCGAAGTCGTGTCTCTTTACATTTTCCTGATCTCTGCGTTTCAACACTTCACCAATTGATTTAACGAAGAACTCTTCATGTTCTTTGAATAGTTTAAAACCTAAACTAGTGTAAATTTTTGGGCTTAAACTATAAAATACGAATTTCATTCTTACCAATACATTCGATTGCGATAAACGTTTGGCCAGCTTGAGGAAAGGTGTATCAAATACTGACTCTGATCCAATGCCGAAGATGGCTCCGCAAACAGCAGCATTACAGAACAACGTAAGAGTTTCAAATAAATTACCACTCTGATTCTTGGGGTTATTTTTCAAATATTTCACGAAATCTTGAGCACTTTTGTCCATGATATAATACATGTTCTTCAATTTGTTTGCCGTAAACAATGGAGTCATATTTGAACGCATTAGTTTCCATCTTGGACCATTCATAAAGGTAATGTTATCAGACAACGTGTCTCCTTCGACGCTTTCCATACCTCGGTGATTGAATGACTGGAAGTCACCAGATAACACTTGCTGCACATTTTTCGGGTCAATAACAAACAGTGATGGAGTTAAGATTTGTCCGATACCGATGGCTGGTTCCTTTCTGTATTCTTTGTACAGCTTTCCGAAGATCTCGAACAGGGCTTTTTGGGATGTCATGAAGTCCCACATTGGTCCTATTACTTTATTCTTTGCGTAGAAGGTAACACCACGTTTCCTCCAATAATTTTCATTGTACTTTCCAATTAAGTACCACGCTAGAACTAGTGTAACTAGCACTAATGTTAATGGTAGGAGTACCATCGTTTGTATTTTTCGGAAGCGTGAGTAAACCCAAGCGACTTATGAATTGTTTGAACACACAATGTGACTGAATAAGCGACGCGCAATACTTATACTCGAGTCCGTCTCGTTATCAGACTTGTTTGTTAAAAGTATAGATAGGTACGTATAGTCTGCACAGTTATGAAAAAAAATAAAGGTCCGGCAGAGTCGCCGTATACGAACTAATATATTGTTACAGTTACCTAAATTATATATTTTTAACAGCCATATCATTTGTCATTACCCAAGCAGTGGTAAACGATATTTATTTTTGTGTCTGAACACCAATAGCTTCTGCAGACTGTACTTTACTCATCTTCCGCAGTATGGCAACCCGCGAACAAATCCATGAAATCAACATTATATCGTTTTTTGCTCTTTCCAAGTATCGATTTCTTGTGAGTTCTTGGAATTTGTATTTGTTATTTCCCATATAGTTTTTTGACTTACCTACTTTTTGTGTTTACGTTACGTTTACGTATTCTTACTAGCTTCAAAGGTTGTTCCCCTTGTTTAGTTGTTTGATTAAAGTTTTTTAATCAATTATTTTGCACTTATAACTTCTGTCTGTTTATTCATTAAGACTGCTGTCTATAATATTGATACCTACTTGTATATACTAACCAGTAGATTTATTTTATTATATGTAGTTTCCAAAATGTAGGAAACATTTCCGAAGGTCAAAGAAATCTTTACCCCCTAATTTAATAACTTATGTACTATAAATTAATTAACAAAAGCTGTAATAGTTTATTGTACCGTAAAAAAATCTGAATGTCCGATTTAAAAAAAAATGAATAGAAATGCTTCAATTGAATCAAACCTTTTCTTATGTTTTGGTTCGAGTACATCTTAAGAAAAATATATTTTGCTTTGCCACGTTAAAAGGTTATGCAATTTCATAAAGACGAGATGGACAATTGCACAATATTTTTTCAAAACTCCGTATTATCACGTCATAAAAGTCAAATCAATTATACTTACTTTTAAACGCCGAAAAAATAATTAAGTATCAAAAGTCAAAAAATGACAGTCTATCGGTCTATCTTTCCTGAAACCATTTCCAAAGTTTAGAAAGATTCCAATGGAGAAGAACAAGCAAGAAACTCCATGGTTACTCTTTTCAATCAGTTGCACAATTCAATTCATCGTTACATTATTAAGTCGGGTCCATTATGTACGTGAAGTTCATTTGTTTTATTGGCAGGTTTTCATCTTCATTGTACGAGTTGTAATTATTTTAGTAATTTTATTATTGCAGTCGTTAGTTTTCTATAAATCCTTTTGTAATAATTACTTTACGCCAGTAAAATGTTTTGTATTTAAATATAAGTGTAAGAAACAGCAATAACAATTTCATTAAAAGTCCAAATTGAATAATGGAGTTAAGGACTAATTTTGCATAAATTACAAGAGTCAGTTTACGAAAAACCTTCATGTTTATTTGAAACTACTAGCTAACGATGCTAACAATGTGAGCTGTAAAGCTATTTACTCGCTTAAACCAAAACGACGTACAGAAACAAGCAACATAAATACCTCGTAATTCCAGTGTGCAAGTATTACACACACATAAATACGTAGCAATGTACCTACCAAGTTACAAAAATGCTTGAAATTTTAGCAACAAACACTAAACGAAAACGAATTTTCGCTAGGATTACATAGTTTTTTTTTTGTAATATTGAGTTTAATAACCACTGATTATTAAAAAATTTTGGAAATCAAAAATAAATGCTAAAGTCAAAGTCGAAATCCTTTATTTTAATAAGGCACTTTTGAACGTCAAACAAAACTTATAGATAAAAATTGTCAATCTGTCGGTCAGTCCTCTTAGTGAAGTTATTTGCTCGTTCGCAAGTATAGATTCCAAAGGATACCTTCTCATATTATAAATAGACTTTTATAATATAAAGAGTGTAACACAACTATTTATAATATGATGTAAAACCTATTTCAATACTGAACTTCATCGTTTATATTGTATAACTCCACAATTCAATACTAGATGCCGTTGTGCGTATGACGTCATATTTTACATGGCGGTGTTAAGATTCTCCGCGACTTAATGACCCCCGCCAGTACATTTGTGTTTTGAGAGAAGGCTACTATCAAGGTGCACTCTCGGGCTACGTCCTTGGAATAGTCACTTGAGACTCCTCTGCATAGCAAGTCGCGGACACTATTATACTTTTATCACAATAATTGTATAATTTTTTGGGTTAGAGGACTGCATCCGCCACCTTCGTCCAAACGGAAAGGGTTGTGTGGGACTGCGCCTATTTTATTTTACCAAAATATACTATATACGTTGACAACATTGACCTGGCTTTCCTTGAAGAACGCGTGACGACACCGGAATAAATTAATCCCTTACAAGAGCTAAAATTTGTGAGGTTGCATGTAGAGGGTAATCTTTACAACAGTAACAGTAACAGAAACGTAACAGCTGGTCGGGTTTCCTAAATTCTTTCCCTGATAGACAACTCCAATATTCCTGAGTGTTATAGACCATAAATTATAGGTACTTGATTTGCCTGCTGTTTTTAAATCCCGGGATACGTTTTCATAGGCGTGCAAAGCCACGGTCGGAAGCAAGTGTTATAATAATATTGCAGATTTTTTATTTTAATAATCCTTATTTCACTAGTCTTCAGTGATTTTTCACACCCATCTGGATGGAAATTTTTCCTTTTAATATTTTTAAAGCTGTTTTGCTTTTTATATATGTCATAAATTTACATAAAAACAGACACACCTACTTTAATCTCACAAATAATAAAATATGTAGGTATTATATATGTTACTAACGAAATCAATAATCTGATGTATCACAATGAATCTATATTTGTTAATACCATATCGTGGTTTACCAACTTTTGCACAAATATTTTAATATATTACATCAGATAAACCAACAAATATATCGAAGGTAACAACCAAATCTGATAATTCAACGCCCCCAGTATCGAAAACTAATCCATACCTACAACTTTACGTAAAAAATGATTTGAGGCACTATTTATAGAATTAATATTATCACTGCGTCACTTAGAAACAGTTGCTCACTAATATTATGAATGTTGTGTAAAAACAACGCGGTAGCCCGGAGTTTAAGCGACCGCTGGTATGATGTGTGGGTTCGAAACCTCACAAGTACCAATATGACCTTTTCCGAGTCATAATATGTACTTTGTATGATTAAGACACCACTGACAAATGGTGGAGGAAAACATCGTGAGAAAACCTGGTCTTATAAGTTCTAATTATAAGTTTGAAATCGCCAACCTGTCTTAAGCAAGCGTGGTGATTAATGCTCAAACCTTCTTCTTGTACGAAGAGGCCTTTGCTCAGCAGTGGGCACCTATAGGCTGATGATGTGATGTGATTATGAATGGGATAAATGATTTATTTGTTCTGTTATTACACATGGACAGCTTGCTCATTATGGATGATTTTACACAGATATAGACTGGTGTTATATTCAAGTAATATTATTTCTTTACACGAACTAGTCTTGTTATAGGCAGTGCTGTTGTATTTCCAGTCTTAATCGCGTAACTTTTAGACGACGCCACTTGACTAGTTTCAAACGACAGCAGGGACCCATAATCATGAGCAATATCTCTGCAAAACAGAACGGTGTGCGTTGCGCAACCAATGTGGGCAACCAGTGTGGGCGTGGCTAGAAACAACTACAGTTATATCTTTAAATAGGTACATGACTAAGCCAAATTATAAATTTAATTAACTACATTCGTCACGGCTTTCATTTTGTTTCCAAGCGAAAATTACAAATCATCTTTTCCGGTGACGGAGTGTTTAATACCTAACTTGTAAGTTATCGATAAAAACAATGCCTAAATAATTCATTGACGCGCAATAACTATCTTGCTTCTTTACAATGATATTTCAAGTACAAATATAGAATTCTCTGTAAGCCACTGTTCAGAGATTATGTATATAAAAATAGATAAAAACAAATGACAAGGTATATATTTGTTCTAAAAATAATAATTTAAATGATAACAGACTACGTCAGTTTTCTATTTTAAAGTCTTTTTAGTCGGCCGATAGCGATTTGCTTGCGTATTTAATTTGGCCTTATAGATTTTTTTCAACATTGAATTAAATCCAGGGGGTACTTCATCCTTTGGACATCTACCAATATTAGGTCATTTTTCTTATATAGTTACCCTTATTATTTGATAGGGTTAAATGGAACCCCTAACCACGGTCATATCTATCCCTAAATAAAATACGTAACAACTCAAAAAAGACCGTCAAAAACCATGTAAATTCGACAGAGCAACGAGTGTCCGATCGTTTACTATGTCCTCATGCTTTTGATTAATAATCATGTGACGAATTTTTATCAAAAAATAACACTGACATTTATGAATTTTATCAATGATTGATATCAGGATTGATGACTTTATCACGTAAAGATCTTAAGCGGCTGACAACACTACCGTAAGTATATGCATATTTACTCAAAAACGGTTTCAATTAATAATAATTAAACGATAATGACAATGACAATGCTCGTATAATAGATTAATACTTATAACGTATGTTATTCATTATAATTTTTAGCCGGAAATTCCTTAATTAAAGAAAATAACGATTCTAATAATGAATTGCAAAAATGTACTTTACTGCATTGAGAATACTGTTTTTTTCCTGTTGAGAAACAAAGAGCTTTAAAATTGGTGTACTCATACAACTGCTGTACACTTATTGTTCTACCGAGTCAGGACATGAATTTAATATCGCAGTACCCTTGCGTACTATGGCATCGTTGCTACCATAATTACGGCACAGCTATGAGAAGCTACGGCCTACGCCGTAGCCGGTTGTAACTTGATTTCCGTAGCCCGTGCTACGATAATCCTGAACAGTCGACTTTATACGTAAAATGTTGTTATGTTACTGATTTATTTCATAAAATTGAGCCGAAACCTATGTATATTGCACTTTATTTATAGATACGCAGAGTACTTTAGTATGATCCATAAAATTTTGTTCGTTCGATTCGATTCGAACAATGTAC